TCAAATTTATGTTTAAAAAAATTTATTTAATTTTTTTTATGTGAGTTTCATAAAAGAAAAGAGTTTTTTTTTATGAGTTATTTAATGAGTTAACTACATAATTAAGATTAAGAAAAATCAAGATTTTTTAGCAATTAAAATGTGAGAAATGATAATGAAAAATCAAAATATCCTTAATGAATTAAAAAAATTAATTAAGAATATTTAAATAATTTTACAGGAAATTCTAACATTTAAAGTGCCAAGACCTATTGATTTTTATTTTTCTCTAATTACATACTACCTTTAATTAGATTTAATTGTTCTTATTTGACTTTTACATGAAGTTTGATATAATAATTTTATATAGTAAATGAAAGATAATTTAAAATTTTTTTATTTAAATGAAAATATTCAACAAATATTATATATAAAAATAAAAAATTTGTAATTATTATTACTTTACTATATAGAATTATTTAGTCAAATTTTATATAAAAATTAAATTAAAACAATTAAATTCCACCTAATAAATAATTATTAGAGCTAATTATATAGTACGTATATCTTACTTAACACTTTTGAACCACTAATTAATATCTAAGTAAAAGAGTACGGATTTGAGAGGTAAAAGGGAAAATGATATTGGTACAATCTTTTTGTTTTATCTTTTTATACAATCTGACGTGTCATTAAAATGATAAATTATTTTAATTAATATATGACTCATGATATTAAATGCATCTATTTATTTAATGATACGTGAAAATTGTATAAAAAAATGAGATAAAAAAATTATCTCAATAACATCACCCCGATAAAAATCCCAGCACAGATTGCCACCTCGGCACAGTTGGTGTCCAAGTGGGAAAAATTGCCCACCTCATCACCATATCAGCCATGGACCCACTAAGACAAGTTCTCCCTTATAATTTCACGATTTGCTGACATCTTCCATCAAGGAAGGGCTGATTTGCCACCGTTTGAAGAGTTTAAGGGTTTAAATGCCAATAGTTTTAGTTAAGGGGCTGATTTGCCACCAATTGAAGAGTACAGGGGTTGATTTGCCCTTTTGCCAATGGTGGTGAGTGGTGAGTGGTGAATATGGTCATTAAGGAGGAGACAGAAGGGTAGGAAGATGAACATAAATTAATAAACCATATTCAAACTTACAAGAGCTTCCGAGATTCTTGTCAAATCCTGAGGAGACAGCATTTTACCAGAGTTAAAAGCAAAAAATTTGATCTCTGAATCTCTGATGAGATGAATCAAGTGAAAGAGAAAGTAACCCAGTTTCCTTTTTCATGCAATGCAACAGGGTTTGATAAAGTTTCTTTTTTTTTTTTTTTCAGATTTCGAAAGGGAAACCATTCATGACTTTCCTATTTAGACCTGTGTCAGCAGATATGAAAGAGGATTCAGCTGGTCCTCAGAATGGGAGGAGGGTGTACTGGATATAGCGTTTAAAGTAGTACTTAATAATATTATTTAATTTAATTTAAATTAGTGATAATAATAATTAATTAATTATTAAATTATATAAAATTTTTAATTATTAATTTTAAAGCACCATATAAAAACCATCCATGTTTTAAAGTTTTATTTTTTTTTTTTGGTTTTCCGTCTGGTATTCGGGATTTCACCCCGATTACTCCGGACTCGACCAGTTGTGATGCACTAGGATGGTAGGTGAGTCTCTCAACGAAAGCTGCTGCGTACACAAGGTTTCGAACTCGAGACCTTATTTAAGCTGAAATAAACCGCTTGCCACTTGATCCAACCTTAGTTGTGTTTTAAAGTTTTATAATTTGAGAAAAGTAGACTTCAAAACACTGAATTTTTTTCTGGGAATAATAGATTTGATCTGATCGGTTTTCATATACCCGAACTTGCAACCGGGTCGGGCATACCGTGAGATGGGCCTTGAATCCGTAGAGGCCTCGAATGTCCAGTCCAGCACTCCGCCTAACGGGTAAATGAGTAAGCTAGGTCGGGTTTGGACATGGG